TTGGAAATCTCCTTGGATAATTGGAGGAGGAATAGTAATATTACTAGTAATTGGACTAGTCATTTACTTCTTAACTAGAAAAGATACGGATAATTAGTAAATCAAGCAGAAACACAAGCAAAAGTTATTGTTTCTGTCTATGTGTTAGATTTTTATTGTTAAGTTTTGTTAAGACTAATCTTACCTTTTCCCATAAATTCCATAATCACTTCCCTACTCCCATCAGGACAAAACCTTAAACAATCTTGCTTTCATTTCCATAACAAATCTTCTCGTAAATAGTTTTCTTCAATTGGCACTTGATATTCTTGCTGACTATTTAATCTTTGTTCATTATTTACATAATATTCAGGAATAAACTTAATTTCTTCTTTATTACTAATTTCTTTATTATCTTTATTGACAAAGAAAAAGAAGCCTTTTTTGGCTTGGTAAAGGATGCAATTATTAAAGATAAAAATAGGAGCAGAACCATTAATAAACTCGGTTATTTTTAAGTCTTCTTCCCGAGCAAAAAAGTTATTTCAATTTTCAACACAATTTTCATCAATACATTTACACTCACTTTCTTTTAAACACTTGCTAGGTTTATAAAGAGATAATAACTCTCCTTGTTCATTCTCTAAATTAACTATTTCGTTATTAAACACCTGAGATTTTAACTTACTTAATCGTTTCCTAATCAGAGGTAAAAAATTAGCCATGAAAGGTCTAAATCTCTCATAAGGATTAGCAATATAGGTTAGTTTTGGTTGAGGACTAGGAGGATTATTTTCTCTTCCTCTTCAAGCACTACCTAATAACTCTTTAATCTTCCCTTCTTCATCTTCTAAATATTTTTCTCCTGTCTTGGGATTAATGATAGCTTCATCAAAAACTATTTCCGTTATTCCTTGCTTATAATTCTCACGGGATTTATAACTAGAAAAAAGTTCAACCATAAAGCATTTCATGGTTCCTTTATGTTTTACTCCTCTCGTAATAGCATCTCAAACTAGCTCGATATCTTTTTCAGGGACTTTATTATCTAAACAATAGTCAGCAATTACTCTTTTTCAGCTTTCTAAGGAACCTGTTCGAATACTATCAAATTGTCTTCTTAGTCAAATGAATTCCTTTTGTTCTTTTTCTATTTTTTCTAATATTCAATACTTAAAATTATAACTCTTGCCCGTGTCCCTTCCGTAAATAATAATCTTTACCTTGGCTGGATGGTTAAAAATAGGAATTAGTCTTTGGTATCTCGGATCTTGTTTATTCATGGTGGTCTTGATAGCAATCTTCACAAAAGAAACCTTTTGCTGAGTTAATTAGATTATCTTCACTGAAATATTTACTACACTTAGAGCAAGCCAAAGAATTTTTATTGGTCTTCATATAAGAATTTTATTAAAAACAATTGCTTATTCTATAAGCAAAACCAAAACAGAAACCAATTACCACAGGTAAAATCCCTGTCTTATCTTTTCGGCTCTATACCTCCTTTCTCTTACTTCTGAAACCTTTCCTAAACGGAAAATAATTTGGGTAAAAGGAGTAAGTAAAGTTAGTTAGATTTAAGAATACTTTCGGCTTTGCCGAAGTTTCTGCTTTCTAGCTATAATTTATACTTACTAACTAAACCCAAAAAGATTTTTCCTCTAATAGGAAATACAGACAAGAAGTAAAAGGAGAAGGAGGGAAAAGGTCAGAAACTTCTGGGCTTTCTCATTAGAGTAAAAGGGCAAAAACCTCTATATGGCACGAATACTAAGTATTGACCCTTCTGGCACTTCCATAAGTGGCTTATTTTACTTTGAGAATTGGAATAATTGGGAAATATCCTCCATTGAAGCTAAAAAATGGTTAGAACAAGGAAAAAAGATAGAAAATTGCCTGAAAAACAAACAGGTTCAAATTCTCCTAATTGAAACTACCAACCTTTATAAGAAATCAGGTTATACTTATGAAATGCCAGCTTTAATTAAGTTAGTTGGCTTATTAGAATATTTGGCTTTACAAAACGGAATAGAATGTCATTTGATTAGCAATAGATTTATGCCTCAATGAGAACAGGAAGCACGAGAAGGAAAAATAAAAGGTTTAGAAGCGAAAGAAGTAAAAGGTAAAGGTAGACCTAAAAAGCAATGAGTATTTAGGGATCAAGAGTTAAATGAACATGAAAAGGATGCTTTGCTTATTTTCTTTGTTTATTGAGTTAAGAAGTTGAGAAAGGAATGACCGTGGAGTTAAAAAATAATTGTTGAATATATTAGACGAGGTGCTAAAATAATATATATAGATAAAAATGTGTTGATTAGTTAGAATTATTTGGGATGCTACGAATAAATCTAATTTAATCTAGATAGTCTAAACTATTCATATTTTTTAATGATTAATTGTTTTTTGGCGGAGTGGGGGGAGTTTCAGTATATGATTCATACTGCTCTTGCTCTTCTTTTCTTTGTTGGTCTTCATGGAGTAAATATCTTTTCTAAATCATCATAAAAAAAGGTTCCTGCTCCACAAGCACTAGCAAGAGTATTACTAATGTCAAAAAACAAATCAACTTCACCTTGTCATTCTCCAACTTTAATACATTGCTTAAAAGCACTAAAACGATTTTGAATGTTCTGAATAGGAGAAGTATTGTTGTTATTGGCTAGATTATTATATAATGCTTCACTATGTTCAAAACGAATATAAAATGGATTAGCTACACACCGATTAGCAAATTCTCAAAAGTCATAATCAAAATCAACAGTGTTAGCATAAAAGATAGCTGGATCAACTATTCTTTCTTTACTTCGGGCTGTTGATTTTTGTTTTCGATCCGTGTGTTGCTCAGTTTGTCCTTTATCTTTGCCTTTCCCTTTCTTTTGTTCAATACTCAACATTTTCTCATATTTTTCTTTGGTCAGAATATTTTTTAAATCACCTCCTCCATCACCTTCTTTCTTGTCATCTTTCTTACCACCAAAAAGACTTGTTATTGCTTTGAAGCCTTTTTTAAATAATGTCCCAC